TAGTTCATCCTCCCAATCACAAGAATTGGACTCGGATTATTCGATACGTCCCCTCTTTTGCTGCTTTCAGACCTTACCTCGGATACATGCAACGGTTACCTGCCGTGTAGCACCAATCGAGGACCTCCAAAGAGACGGTAAAAATATATAACCTTCTCCAACCTTATTTGTCATAAGTACTTAGGGTCTAAATACAATCGATCTATTCAAGAATTTCGAAATAACCACTTGCGTAAGATTTAACCTTCAGTTACGGAATACGTCCTATCAATCCATTGTCATCTCATCATTATTCAAGTGGTCAAAAACCCAATACACTCCATTTAGTTTCCCTTTGAGTTAGATGTTTTTAAGTTAAGGTTAGAACAAGCTATTGAGACAATAATTTCTACACAAGTATAAGCATCATCAAAGTATCATGGTAAAGAAAAATAGGCTCAACAATGTAAATATCATACTAAGGCCCAAACAAGAGATAAGAAGCACATTCATGAAATTAAAAGTATGAAATCATCAACAAACATAATTTCTAGATTAGATGCACTTTAAAGATAGCAATTAAAGAGACATTTTTAGATTTTTCCTAAACTTGGCATTTTCATGGTTTATAGAGAATTTTATCTAGTTTTCAAAACATTTTTCAGAAGTAGAATAGCTTTTCTAGATTTTTAGTTGTTTAAGAAATACTTCAGCGCTGTCTAGATTTGTTGACTCTTACGAAAATTGAATTTTCTCTCAAATTGCTCACTCTTTTTCGAGAAAAATTTGTTTCCATGAAAGCTAACACTTACAGGAAGGTTTGACATAAAAATGAGGTTAAGGAGATTTTTTTTACATTTTTCTATAATTTTTATAAGTGGGCTGTAAATATTGATTCTTTGAGCACAAAGTTTCAAATAAGAGAAAAAGGTAGAAAATAGGGTAATCATAGATGACTTTTCACTTCTATTGTGATGAAAACATGCTAAATAATACATCATAAACTCATAATTTTAGATTCAAGGTGTGCCTTTGGAATTCATGTGAGATAGGTGTAAAAAAATATAGTTTTGCATCTAGTAAGAGAAAACAAAAGTAAATGTGAAACAAGGCTCAACTCTTTTCATTTTTAACACAAGATCACCATTAAAACACCTCTGAAAAAAATATTTAAAATATCTAAAAACATGTATTTCAAAGAGGAAATAGAAGGAAGGGTGTTGATGTGGCATACTTGTTGCCTAGATGAGATGTTTGCACAATTTTCCTTTCATTTCCTCTCTCTCTCTCTCTTCCTCTCCTTCAGCCGTGTATGTGAATGTATGAGTGTTTGTGTTCAAAATGTGGAGGTGAGTGGTATATTTATAGAGTAAAAGTAATAAAAAGACTATTTTGCCATTGATTCTAATTCAATTGAATATTTTTTAATTTAGTTAGGATGAAATGGAATAGTAGGAACCTTAATTATGTAATTAAACATAATCTAATTAGGTTTTTCTCTTAATGAAAACTATCATAGTTACAAGTACAATGCATGTATACATCTATATATATAATTGGTACCAAAATCAAAATCTGTTCCATGATTTTAGGGATATGCTTCAAAAAAAGTACTCTATAATTGTAGCCTAGGGGTGGCCGACCATATCCTCTTGATTTGGAAATTTTTCTTAATTTTTTTGATGTACAAATTGTACATTTTGTGGAGATATTTGTGTGCAAACTTATTTGTTTAAGAATATTGGCACAAATATGTATATATATAATGGTACTATCTTGGGGTCAATTTATAATTCAAGTAAAATGTGAGGGCTAAAGCCTTAATTTATGAATTGGGACATTTATTTAAGTGTAGTATTTAATTAAATTAGTATTTGGAAATCCAATTCGGTTAAAGTTTATTTGTTTCGAATTAAACGGCAAATCATAATGAGAACCTGAAACCTAGGGTTTTGAGCAATAAATCCATAATTAGGGAGTTAATTAATTATTATTAGGGTTTTGGAAATGATTCTTGAATTCTCAGATTTGATTGGTGCGCATTTTCAACTTTAGAGTTAAAATTGAAATCAAATAAGGAATCAATTATCTTTATTGAAATAATTCAAAAGTAAGGGTCTAAAAAGAAATTACGAAAGTCAAGGGCCTCACAGAAGGTACAAGAATTGTTTACATAATTAAATACATAAATCACTAATTTCATCATTTTATAATCATTTTTTTACTCTCAACTTTTTGATATTCTCCCAAAATAAAAAGGGGAACTTACCGATAAGTCCCATACATAAAATTCAAAACCTATTTTATCCCAAAACAAAATACTTGCACCAATTAGTCCTACATATTTTTAATTATTACCAAAAAATCTTTTTTTTAAAAAAAAATTTACAGATGCTGCCACATTCCACTGCCGTTAGACTTCTGTCAGATGGTCACCGGAGACTCGCCGAAATGTTTAACATCATTGGAAAATCGTCAGAGTATTTTCGAAAGTTCACCGGAGTGTTTAGAATGTCACTGGAAATCGCCGGAATGTCCAGAACGTTTGTTGGACATTAAGAATATCGTCGGAGACTCACTAGAATGTTTAGAATATTATCGAAAAAAATAAATAGAGAAATTAGAGCAAAAACACATAGCAAAATATGCTAAATATTGATAAATTGAAAGGGAAAAAAAACGTAATAACAAAAAACAACAACGGAAAAAAAAACATATGTTATTTTTTAATTTTTGTAGGGTTTAAGCAAATAATCTCCAATATTGAGCAAACTGAAAAGCAAGCTTTGAAATTGTAAAATATTATAGTTTCAAAGCAAAAATCTATTAAGTATTTGTCTTTATTAATCACACTGAAAAATATGTTATGAAACTATAAAATTTTGCAGTTCTAAAGAATGTTATGAAACTGTAAAATTTTACAATTTTAAACCTTGATTTATTTCAGTATAAAAAAAAATTGAAACTGCAAAATTTTATAATTTTCACCGCCTATAATTAAAATTTAAAAACAACTTGTTCATAACTTGAAAATTTTCTCCATTAAAATAGAAAAAGAGAAGTGCATAGTAAAGAAAATGAAGAAAAAATGAGAGATCAAATGAGAGAGACAGATATTGAGAAATGATTGTACTTCGACAACTATTTTTTTGTTTAGATCTAGCTGGATATGATGCAGATCTACTCATCTTCTTCGTCGAAAATATATCTTCTTTACTATCGGTGAGGGTGAAGCAAAGAGTTAGTAGTCAGTGGTTGCCGATGAACCCAATCGATGGTGGTCGTCGATTGTCAGCGACTATTTATTAGAAAGAGAAAGAGAAGAAGTAAGATGTGATCGCCGGTTACTAAAAATCAGAAAGAGAAAGAGGGAAAGAAGAATAAAGGAAGAGAAGAAGAAAAATGTTATAGAACAAAAAGTTATAAGACTAAATAGGTCACACCTCTTTGAAAGATGACTTGTTGATAATTTGTCCAAATAAAAAAAAAAGGGATTTTTGGCCATAACCTCTTCATAGAGCCTGTTTTTCTTGAAAATGACAAGCTATAATTTTTTTGGCTCATAAACTCCTCAAAAATAAAGAAATATTGTAAGAAGGACAAAAAATTTCAGATTTATATTTTATGTGACAAATTTACCCTTTCACACATACTTTCTCTCTTTCTTCTCTTTCTCTCCATTTGTTTGTCATCTCTTTTTCAGCTCTTTCTCTATCTCTTGCTAAGAGCTTTCTCCTCCTCCACCACCACCATCTACACCACCACCACCATCACTGTCTCCACTACCACGACTACCATAACTACCATCATTTCCATTACCTCCACCGTCTCCATCAACACCGTCTCAACCGCTGGTGGTGCCGTTCGTCGTCGTCACCGCCACTGCCACCACCACTACTGTTTCACCACCACCATTTCAACCACCAGCACCATTCGATGCTACTATACCACGGGCAACCACTATCGTCATCCTTAGCATCCAAGACCTCAAATCTGAGATTGACGACCTCATATTTGAGGCCTATAATCTCAGATCTATATTCTCTCCCTCTTTTTCTCTTTGTCTCCTCATCATGTTCTGTTTTTCAGATAGTAAAATTTTACTCTGGTTTGAACAAGATCTAAGGCAATATATGTGCTCTCTCTATCTCTTTATTTCTCTATTTTTTTCTCTGGTATGTGCTCTAATTTTGTTTGACAAAATGAAAGTAAAAGTTTACTTTGGTATGTGTTTTGTTTTTGTTTGACAGAATGAGAGTAAAATTTTACTCTGGTATGTGTTCTGTTTTTGTTTGACAGAATGAGAGTAAAATTTTACTCTGGTATGCGCTCTGTTTTTGTTTGATAACATGAGAGTAAAATTGTACTCTGGTATATGCGCTATTTTTGTTTGACAGAATGAGAGTAAAATTTTACTCTAGTATGTGCTCTGTTTTTGTTTGATAAAATGAAAGTAAAATTTTACTTCGGTGTTATGTGTTATGTGTTCCTTTTTTTTCTTTTCTTTTTTTTTTTGATACAATGACAGTAAATTTTTACTCTGTTATTGTGTACTTCTATTATTTGTTTTCAGAACAATGAGTTCAAGTGATGTAACAAAGTGAGGGAAACAAACGGTACTATCATTTGATATTTGTCCATTTATATGGAAAGATATTTCAATTTTTTTATCATATTTTTTTATTAAGGGACTTTTAAAACTAATATTTTATTACGGAGCCTTGACGTAAAAAGAGCCCAATGAAAGGGTTTTTCATCAAAAATTCCTAAAAAAGGAACAAAACTAACTGGCCCGTGAAATGTTGTAATGGGCCTATTCTTTTTAAAAAGGACCCGATCCGATCTCTAAGCATGGTAACTTCCTGAGATTTGTATTTGGGTCCGATCTCTGCACACCGAGCAGCCCTTGGCGTGTTCTGTCAGCAACTTTGATCAGTGTCTCTGCAATCCTCCCTTAGATCAGACTCATCCCCTCTCTCTTCTCTCTGGTAAGTACTCTCTCTCTCTCTCTCTCAGACACACTCTCTCTCTCTCTATATATATATATGTATGTATGTCTATGTATATGTATTTGTATATGTGGATGGAGTTTGAATAACAATAAAAGAAGCCTGGAAATGAAATTTTAGGGTTCTGAAGGTTTGAATCATTTCCAAGTAAAACAGGCAATTCATAGGTTGGGGTTTTTGAAATTATCATTTTCTCACTTTGGAGACAATTAGCTTCAATAATACTTTGTAATTTTCGCTTCTGTAGCTTTTTTCTATTACTCTGAAGTTGAAAATTTTGAAAATCCAATTTTCCAGGTGTTGTAAACAAGGCTTTTGAACTGGTATTCGATCGCGAACAACATGGTAAAGTTTTGCTACTAGCTTATTATGATCGTTAGTATAATTTCTTTACTTGGTTTGAATGAGAGGTTTTATTGTTATCTTTTATTGATATATTATTATGAGCAATTGTTTTTTCTCCAGAATTATATTATTGGAGCTTTCAAGCCTGCTTGTAACATTTCAATCACATTTTCTGATGAGAAAACTCGTAAGAAGGTAAGTTTTCTTTGTTTATTGCCTTCAATAATTAAACCCTAATTGTATTACTAGTAATAAATTTGTGTAATGGCTTGAGCTAGTTTACTAGAAGTAGGGAATTATTGAAACTGGGAGTTCCGTGGTATTTCTTGTTGGTCAGTGAGACGGAACTGAGATCACGGCCACATCTCATGGTCTTGTTATGCATATGTTAGGGCATCTCCAAGCCTTGACTCAAACCTATGCCAAATTTAAATTTGGGTAAAAATCACTCAAAACTCTTTCCACTCCTTGACTCAAACCCATATCAAATTGAGTTTTATCCTTTTTTCTACTCAAATTAAGGGAGAGGCAAATGTTTAGTTGGAATTTTAAAGACCATTTTGTAGCTTTCAAATTTGCCACTCTGCCATTACTAAATTTTTACTCAAATTGTGCTTAAATTTGAGTCTGTCCATTGGAGTGTTCCATGTCAAATAAATCTTTTACTCACAATTTTACTCAAATTTTTATGAAGGGCTGGAGATTGTCTTACCTGATTGAATAATTGAGTTGCTTTGATGTTCATTTTTGTGGTATTGGAATAATGCATGGCCAAGGGAATATGCATACTCATTGATGATAAAACAACCATTTCAATGTTCTTCAAGGTGGAAATATGAAGATCTTCAAGAAACATGTATTTTAGATATGGTCCTTCTTTGGTTTGTGAGATAATTTATTCATTTAATCAGTATTTGTGACCTCTTGGAATTAGTCTGTTGCGTGAACAAATTCTTTTTTTGGAAAATTACTGCTGGACTGGTGGTTCAGTTTCTAAACTCAAACCACCAGGGGGATGTGGCAGTTTGGTAAGGCCTTGAGATATAAACTTTGAGGTTCCAGGTTCCACTCTCCCCGGGGCCAGCCACCCTAGCGACAGCATATATGGTTGGTAGGACGAACCTTCCAAGCCTAAGGGAACCATACCCAGTATTAAGAGTGTGGGTTCAAATCTTGTCTGTGTGCGAGTCCGCGACTTACCGCTGCATGGTTGAGTGACCTTGCTATATAGCACCACCTAAAAGTTTCTGGACTCAGATTTATATTTGGCAGTTTACTTTTGGGGGTTTATTGCAACTGGCGCGGAAGGTGGTTAATACTGTCATGATGATACTTATTTCTTGTGCATATGTGTGCATAGGTTCCCATGAAGAAGGAAAATGGTCAAACAATGATGATCCCACTCTTCCAAAGTCAAGAAAACATTGCTGGGAAGGTATTTTGCGCTAATAGTCTAGTTATGGTTATTGATTATTTCTAATTTCACTGTTTAGTTTAAAATTAGCTCTGAATTCATTAGTTCAACAATTTAAATGTTAATAAGATGTGCATATTGTATATTATATTGTATATAAATATATATATATATATATTTACATAATTTTTGTTGGTGGTGGCCTTTTCAGATTTCTATTGAACCAGTTCAAGGGAAGAGGGTTGAACATAATGGGATTAAAATTGAACTCCTTGGTCAGATAGGTGAGTTTACTCAAAGTTTCTAATACGATATATTCCTTGAAAAGTAGAGACACGGGACATTATAGCATATACAATGACGAGGGTTCCTTTTCCTTTGTCAGCCCAAACTTTTCCCGTCAAGCAGACACTCATTTAATGAAGTTCTTAATCTTATCAAAAGGGATAGAAAAGACACTTCCATGCAGTTTGAGATAAAGTTATAATTGTCATTCTTAGAATCTTGGGTGATTTTTTTGTATTATTTTGTTTATTGTTATCTTTTGTCTTGTAATATCTACTTTTCTTATATTTACCTAATGAGGTTTGTTTTTTCAGTTTGTATTGTCTTTCTAATTTACTAATCAGTAAAAGAATAGGGACACCTCTGTGTATCTCTCATGCAACTTAACAATTGATTGCACACACACTTACAGTGTTTCCCAACAGTTATTATTTTTAATTTTTTTATTAATGTCATTTTATTTTATTTTATTTTGGTTGGACAGTAGACATTTATATCTTGTAATCCTTGGAGAGAAGCTTCTTCCTCTTCTTTTTGGGCTAATCCTTTCCCATTGAATACCTTTGCCTCACTGCTAATGATTAAAAAGTAGATGTGAAGATATCATTTTTTATTGCAGTTACATTTTTTGTGGGTTTTCGCAGAAATGTATTTCGACAGAGGCAACTTCTATGACTTTACCTCCCTTGGTGAGTGTACTAGTAATTAGATCCCATTAACTTAGATTTTACCAACTCTTTATTATTCTACTTCCAATTATTTTGTAAAACATCTGGCTCATTGGTTTTCAATCTATAAATCTCAACATTCGTTGTCCTTATCAATATGTCCATCATTGTTACATAGTGTATTTAGTTTCTAACATATTTCCACAACTATTAGCAAAATGGATTTTTCTCCCTCCCCAAATTCTTTTTTATTTTTTTCATTTTCTATAGTTCGTGAACTGGATGTTCCTGGTGAATTATTTGAAAGGAAGACATATCCCTTCGAATTTTCTACGGTTGAAATGCCTTATGAAACATACAATGGGGTGAATGTGCGGCTCAGGTAAGTTAAACACTAGTCATGAAATTGTCTGTGTAAGTTTTGTGTATATGTTGTATCTTTTGTCTTTCTTTTGGACAATTCATAGTTAACTGTATGAATATCAACTTGTTCTTATTAAAATCTATTCTGGTTTTATGAATCTAATAAATTGTAAGAACTTTTCTGAACAAAAAAAAAATATATATATATTTCTAAAAACTTCTGGCAGATTTTTTAAGGTCATCGTGTTCTATTGCATCGCTTTTTGCACAACCATATTTACCTGTCATATCTACCTGCCATTGTTTGCTACATTGCTTTGATTTTTCCTGTATGTACTGGTTAAGGCATTGATTAAGACATTGTTGAAGTTCATTTTGATGGTCCTCATCATTTATTATGTGCAACTTGGCCTTAATGTAGCTGCATGCTTCATGACTATTTAAATTTAAATCTTAATCTCTAATGTGTGCATTTTTTAAGGTCATCATGTGCCATTGTTTGCTTCATGACTAATTAAGGCTTTGATTAAGACTGGCATGCTTCAGAGTGCAACAGTCTGATATCAAGAATATCAGATATATAAAATTTTAAGTTTCACAGGATCAAATCACCTAAAACCTGTCCTAGTTCAATTTTGATTATTGTCGAAGTGCGCTTTTACAGAAAAAGCTTTGTCATTCCGGAGGTTAAGTCCTTTGTTGAGGGAAAATTGTCTCATTTTGGTGGTCAACTGCCTTGCTTGAGTTAACACATTTTTCTTGTGGGTTGGTCTAGCTTGTTTACATGAGGAAAACATTTCTTATAGCCGTGTTTGTTTTCTCAGATATAAGGGGGTGGAACTAGACTAAATAGCCCTAGGCCTCCTCCCCACCCAAAAATATTCAGAGAAATGCCCTTTGAACCGAATTGAATAATTTTAACTTTTAAGCTATCCCATTCCTTATCCTAGGCTGAACCTAACACTTTATTTTTGGTGGGGGCTGGAGAATTTGATGAATGGACAATGTGTCTTGAAATACCTTATTGACATTAGATATGGCCATTCAACTTATTGAAGTTGACAATAGATAGTGGAAACTTATGACTATGGATTTGTAGTATACCGTCAGCTATGTTCTTCATCATACTGATACATTCAATATAGTATCTGTGATGTTAAGATTCATGTTAAAATTTCCCTGAATTATGCTTTTTGCAGGTATGTCCTGAAAGTTACAATTAGTCGTGGTTATGCTGGCAGCATTGTGGAATACCAAGATTTTGTGGTAATCTCTCTGTGAGTGTGTGTGTGTTAATTGACCATTTTTCTGAACTTTTAAAGAAGCAAAGAGGCTGTACTCAGCTATATCTAAAGAAGAAATATTATGTAGAACTAAGAAGCACGGACACGGACATAGACACGATACATGACATGACACGGACACGTTGACACCTAAGAAGTACAGATACGGATATGGACACGGACACAGATACGACATGGACACACCAATTTTCAAAAAATACAAGACAAGACATGTGGGGGACACGTACGAAATATATCATTTTATATATTTATTATATGTTATATATATGAATACATCACTCAAAGATAATAAAAAAAAAATGTAACATAATACTTATTTTATAAATTTACATTTTTTTTTTTTTTGGTTATTGTATCCTAAGTTATTTAGTTCTAGCAATTTCATGTGTGTATAATCGGTGAACACGTGTTTAAGCAATGGACACGAGTGTCCAAAAAGTGTCCATGTCTAAATTTTTTTTTAACAAAATAGGATACGTTTTGACGAGTGTTGGGCACGTGTCGAGAAGTGTCCAACGAGTGTCGGTGTTTGACACGAACATGATACGAATATGCTACCTTCTTAGAAGTGTCTATGCTTCTTAGGTTGACAACTGTGAGACACATTTGTAGGATGTGACACATGTGAGACACATGCAAAATATGGCATATTTATAAAGATAAGCAATTATTATATATCATGCATATTATTTATAAATATTTACTTTAAAGATAATAATGTAAAATCTAAAGGAAAATAATATGTATAAATTTATGTTTTTTTATTCTTTTTTTTTTTGTATCATTGGCTTTCAAATTATTTTATTCAAACTTATAATGTGTTTCATGTATGTCTAAGCAGTGGATGTGTGTTCCTAAGTGTTTGAATTGCATCCGAGTCAAGAATTATTTGTTTCTTTTTTAAATAATTGGAGACGTGTGTTCAGTAGTTGTTGGGAAGTGTCTGACTCCCATGAGTGTCATGTCGTGTCTGTTGGTATCCAATACGGTGTCATACACGGCACGGCACGGCACGCCACATTCTTGGAAGTGTTTTTTGCATTTTTGGTGTAACTGTGTAGTAGAATATCAGTCTATTAAGGTTTGTGTGAAATATCAATACACTGGTTTTGGGAAAACATAACTACATATGTGTTATTGCAATATCATCTTCTTTTACAGCATAGTTGTGTATATGTGTGGAGTTTGGCTTCCTAACTCTGTCTGCATAGATGGTGACTCAGTTTTTCAAAGAACCATTTCTTCAAACAGAAGAAGATTATGCAAACTCTAATCTCACTTATGAGCCTTACTAGTAAAAGGGCTCTACCATCACCAAAAATGCATCAACATCTTTCAAACAAATGTTTACTATTAATGGAAATGCCATGTATCCAATCTTTTAGGTTCAAAAAATAGGCTTCTATTGCATTTTTTTTTCATATGGTAATAAGATACATATTATTACCTTCACCTTTGAGACTAATCTTTACCCTCAATGAGATATTTGAGATAGATTTTAATTGAAGATCAACTTCAGATTTTGATTTAGAAATGGAAATCTATGACAAAGGAAGGCAAAGTCTTTTTTTCCATAGGTTGGAGGAAGAATCACAAGAGCAGATGAGAAAACAAGTTTGATCGAAATCCATTCTGTCTCTGACTGGATTTGATGTGAAAGCCTCTAAAAGTGATTTTCTCATTACAAACATTGATAATAGAAGAGATATTCGGATACATATTATTACCTTCACCTCTGGAGATGTGGTTTTAGCCTAGTCTAATAGTTGAGACCTGCATTAATTGTGCCTCATATTCTAAGCATGCTTAGAATCTCTCTTCTTTTCAAGTTGTGGTCTCAGTCTTTGACAAAAGGAGCATTGTGGCAAGGAGATAATTTTTATGGAACGTTTATCTAATCAGTACTCATCTTTGCACTCTGCAGCTGATCACAGGGAGGTCACGCCACGCCTTGTGAAACTTTTTTAGGAACTTACTTTGGAATCCCTCATTCAAGTCATGGAATTTTTAACATCTAAATGTTAATTCCTTTTTATTTATTTATTTTTATGTTTTTGGAATTTGAGAGTTTGGACTTCTGAGTTAATCTCACCCTTCCAAGTCCTCCTACGTCTATAGCTTCAGCTATTGTTTATTTATAGTGCAGGCTTTTTCTCGTAATTCTCTAAGCTTTATAATGGGCTCTGTACTGCGCTCATTTAAGACTTCATCATTCTGCCACCACCATCTATCTTTAATATGAATTGATGTTAAACAGACCCCTCTCTCTTAGCTACAATTTTGAAATAGGTTATTCAAAGTAACTGAATGAAAAGGAACGTATTATCCTGTTGACCTCGATGAGTTGATATTAAAGCCTAGTTGAGTTGAGTTTTTAGTGACTTGTGATCCCTTACTCTAGTATAATCTCTCTTTCCTTCTCTTTGAGGCATAAATAATAACTAATTGTACTTGCTAATTTAATCTGACTTGTGCTAAAGTGCTTCCTATGTTACATGCATCAAGTACTGTGCCTTTAGCAGGTTGTGTTATTCCTCATTTATGTATCTGGTTGGATGCATTGGCTTGTGCACAAGTCATGCGCTGATCAGTTCAAAATTTGTATTTCATCTAATTTATGATAATCGTTTCTTATTAATTTGTTTGATAAGTAGGGTCTTGTTGCTCACTCAGCTTTGTTCAGTTGCGTCTTTTCTTCCAGCTTGCAACTGTACTGTTAGTGTGCTGTTCATGAAATTTATCAATTAGCAATTTATTGTTCTGATCTATTTATTTCAATTTTTATGCATCAGGTTCGCAATTACAGCCCACCCCCTGATATTAACAATAGTATTAAGGTCAGTGTGGTACTGCAGTGTCTTTTACATTCGCACTAACTGATCTTTGCTGACCAGTGGCCATTCCGAAGGGTAGACTAGAGTCTATGGCTGGGATCAGGGTGCTTCTAGTGTTGGCCTATGCAATTATAGGGAGAAAAAAACAAAAGAACGGAAAAAAGAAAGATAGAAAAAAAAAAAAAGCATTATATTGTCTGCATTATGCCATGCTTCATATTCATGAGAAATTATGTATTAGATGGGGAAGCGTAAACAAAGTTAGCAACTCTAATTTCCAATTCTATATATCCTTTTTAGTATATGTTTGTCTGAAGTATGACACAATCGCCAAATCCCAATAGGATTTTCTCAATCTCTAACCGTTTAACCTTGCAGATGGAAGTTGGGATTGAAGATTGCCTTCATATAGAATTTGAGTACAATAAAAGCAAGTAAGCAATAATGACAAATTTGTGTTTTTGGTTAGTAATTTATTATTTGTGGCGTACCATGCTCTTTGTTCAGACACCTAATAATTAAACTTGTTTAATCCAATAAACTGAATCTTGATAAAAAAGAAAAAAAAAAAAAAAAAAAAAAAAAGAGGCAGCTCCTGGTTGTTCAGTTCAACTGGGTTGTGCAGGACACTAAACCCAGGTCCCACTTCTTCAATCAATCGAAGCTTCTTATAACTTAAAGCTGATATTAAGCCATATCTGTTAGGCTTTCGATTGGACAACTTCTCTATCTGGATTCTGGATTCACAATCCAACCTGACCAAATCAGCTGCCCTGGTGTCTGGCACAGTTTAGTTGTTATTTGTCACTTATTAAATTTCAGAAAAAAGCAGGGATGTTTGCCTTGGCTGACTCTGGTGTTCATTACTCAGGTATCATCTGAAAGACGTTATTGTGGGCAAGATATATTTTCTTCTTGTAAGAATAAAGATTAAAAATATGGACCTTGAGATCAGACGCAGAGAATCAACAGGATCAGGGGCCAACACCCATGTTGAGACCGAGACACTTGCAAAGTTTGAGTTGATGGATGGTGCTCCAGTCAGAGGTATGCAAGAATCATCATTTAGGTTTCATCTGTTTTTCAATGCATGTACCCCATTTTTCTTACACTCAACGTGTAATATCTACTTTCCAACCTTACGTACTGCTACCTTAGATATGATAATTCCCTGTAGTATTAACTTTAAAAGCAGCAGGCATTAGAACCTTCAATATATATGAAAGCAGAAACTTTTTGGAGATTTTGTAGGGCACAAGAGTAATAACTGTTTTAGAGAACCTGCAACTTAAAAAATTACTATTAATCTTTTTATTTTCTGTATCATGATTTTGTTTCCAAAATTCTGATTGAACCATCCAGAAGGATTAGCACTTACTGACAGTCCAATCACTTCTTGTTGTTGAGACGTTGACCAAATCTGTTCCGTTCTTCAGATTAGTGGTTAAAATTAAGTCTTTCCATTCAGCTTTATTTTGAAAAATTTGCAAGTGAAATTTTATCAGAATTTTACATAGCGGACAGATTGTTTCCAGGTTCAAAGAATAAGAATTCTTGAAAGGGCAGAAAACCACATGTTTGCATAAGTTTCTTGATAATTTTCTCGGGAATTTTTTTTCTTTTAATAGAAAAGTAGATACTTTTCTCTAGGTTAGCCCCAGTTGGTTAAAACAAACAGTAGTAGCCAGTTTCATATTTTAAGAATTGAGTAGTTTTCAAAGGTGAAACTGAGTAGAACCCTAATTGTTAATGGAAATTGTTGAATTAGATGCATGTTTGTGAACTATATCACATGTATGCAAGTTTTGATGGAAAAATTGAGGTTGCTTTTACAGGTGAATCAATACCAATCAGACTGTTCCTTAGCCCCTATGAACTGACGCCAACACATCGCAACATCAACAACAAATTCAGCGTGAAATATTATTTGAACCTTGTTCTTGTTGATGAAGAGGACCGCCGGTATTTCAAGCAGCAGGAGATCACACTATACCGCCTTGCAGAAACTTCTTAATTTTTTCTTACACGAAATTGCCGTTCCATCTAGGGAAAAAGGAATAGAGAAATTAATTTCTTCATGAGAAGACCATATGGACCGTGGACGACTGGTCATATCATCAGAACTATGTTTCTTGAAGAGTGTCACATTGAATTTGTATTTTATTGGTGATTCCCCTCTTTGATACAACATTGTTAGGTTTGTATAGACAGGCATCTTTGTACATGGGATTTGCACCTAGGAGTGGGGGACCTCTCTGGTTGATGTTTTGATGCTAATACCTCTAAACTTACAATATGCTTTGGTGATCAACCCATATCATGTATTCTTTCAAATAAAGGCAGATATAGCAGAAAAAAATACATAATACCAGGTAATTTTGTAGATTTGGTTGCTGATGCTCGGCGAATTCAAGCATGAATGGGTATTGCTTTCATTAGTAGAATTGGGATACAAAGTAACAGGAGTAGAAACAGAATGCAACTTTGGATGCCAAGTAGAGGAAGAAGATGAGTGTAAGTTAGAGCAGAACCATTCAAAGCTTCAAACAGTGAGTTTTGATATATATGAGCTCTATATATTTGGTGGTTGAAATTGAACTTCCTTCCAGGTTGAGCTTCCTTCTCTGTTTCTGATGTGTTTTGTTCACATTGGCAAATTTTTTTGGGCTATTTTGAGGGGGAAGTTAGTGTGGATATTTTGGCTTCTCACAATCCAAGTTTGTGGTGGGTAGTTTAGAGGGACTGCTTCTTCCTTTTTTCTTTCCTTTTTTTTTTTATTTAAAAAATAAAAACAAGAAATACAAACTGGGATCCCATTGTTTTTCCTCGTTGAAAAAAACCTAGGAGGGGTGATGGTAACATTCATTAAGCATAAAATTGTAATTGAACGTCCATAATCATTTTTAATAATTACAACCAAGTGCACTTTTAAATGCAACATTCAGCAAAAAGCTAAACCTTTGTAACTCGAAATTCCCATCCCGAATAGCTCGACTGCTCAAAATGGCGTCGTTTTGGGTAATTTTTTGTTTTTTTTTTCTCATATGTCTGAAACAGAGAGAAGAAGAGGAAGAGAGAGAGAGAGGAGAGAGGGGAAGAGGGAATAGAGAGAGAGAGAGAGAGAGAGAGAGAGAGAGATGCCTCCAATCTCCTATTCTTCTCCACCGCCCGTCAATCGTTGCCTCCGATCTCCGATTCTTCTCCACTACCCGGCCTCTGATCACTGATCTCTCCCTCCGATCTGTATATGAGAATGATGTGTTGAAATTTTTTTCAAATTTTTACGTTTCTTTATTGTTAATCTCTATAGTGGGTTTGTTTTTTTGTTGATCTTTATGTGTGACGATGATGATGTGTTTGGTTGATGATGATTCTCTCTCTCTCTCTCCCATCTGTGTTGATGATGATGTGTTGGGTGGGTTTGATTTTTGGTTGATGATGATGATTCTCTCTCTCTCTGCTCCTTTCCTCTTCTCTTTTCTTCTTCTTCTTCTTTGTTCTTCTTCTGCCAGTTATGAAAAAAAAAAATCAAAATGATGTCATTTTGGATTCGGGCCAATTTCGAGCTCGAAAATTTCGAGTTACGTAGTGGAACCGCATTCAAAAAAAAAATTATGATTTTGGTCTAAAAAAAAGAGGGTTGTAACAAGTTGTTTGTACTAAAAATGACAGTTCAACAAGGAGCTTCCATGTGTTCAGGTGGTGACTTAAAGATGGTGACTATAGCAAAATCAAAGTTGGCAATTGAGGGCTCCTGGATTTGTGTGATCAAGTCAATCATGGGTTAAGTACATTGTTTTAAAGGAAAGTATTTGTTGGCTTGAATTTGTGTGACTGAATGTTTTAAATATATTAAAACGACGTCGTTCTATTTTTAAAATGACGTCGTTTTGAGACATTCGAGTCATTCAGACCATGAAATTTGAGCTACCAAAAATTGTTATATTTCAAATTCTTTGGAGATTGCCAACCGTATATATCCATTTATATATTAATTATATATATAAATGCATTTGTTTAATGGATAGAGTTAGTGGGGCACAGGTCATTCATCCAAAAGACCAAAGAGCTCCACTAGTTAAGACATCAACGATCACAATTTGAATTTCTAAACAGCTACTACATTAATGCAACTATTTTGACCAATGATGGACACTTGTCATTTATCCAAGACCTAGCTTTTTCACCCAACAGCTTAGATCAGGAGGCAGTTATAATCAAACCTAAGTGTTGAGGAGCACACAACCAACACCCTAAAAAAGAGGAACAAAGTGGGATAAATGTCTTTTCAAAAGGAGGTTCAGCATCCCACTAACATAAATTGTTCTAGATTTTCAAGAGACGATTCTAGATTTTCAGAAGGCTCTAGCAGCTATAAATACCCCGAAATGAAGAGGGAACAAAACTTAATCAATCAATCATTCAACTCAACATAGTACATAGCACTAGTGCTATTTATCCTTAGTCTTGGTTCTAGTTCAACTTAGGAATAGACTTGAAAGGTATTTTTGCCATAGATTTAGCCTTGTTTCCACAACACACGTGTCAAATTAGTTGTTTTGGCCTTCACATACATTTTTTTGAGACTTAGATTGTGTTTACATCCATTTTGTAACTCAATTTCATGTGTTACAAACTTGTTCTTATGTTTTTATATTTTCAATCCGTTGAATTTATAAGATTAAGTGTTTTAGTGTTCATTTCCTTTTACTTAACTTTCTTCTTGATTTTGCAAACACCATGGAGATTTTAAATCGTCTTAATTGAGGTAAAACAAAAATCAGGAGGTTTTTGTCCTTTATATCTCAACACAATCTCCTATTTTTAAAAGTCAAATTTTTCCAAAAATATTTCCACAACTTAGGCATTATTGCCTTGACACGCTTGCAAACCCTTTAGTATTAAAAGTCAGTTTTTTTTTTACACAAACAGAAGTGCAAAAGCTTCTAGTTATTGGTTAGAGGAGGGGAGGGGAATAGAATGAGACCCAAATTCGGCTATTGATCTTGCCTAATTCCAAGTGATTTGGTTTTTTTTCATAGTATCACTTGGGCAAAGGGGTGCGTGCAAGCATGTTGTGAGGTCTCATAGGATGCGTTTTGAATTTATTTTGATAATTTGAATAGTTTATATTATAAATTTCGTTAAACATATTATCAATGAAAAAAAATCAAATTAATTGGACATGTGTAACCCTATAATCAAGTTTTAACTATTTTAAAATAAATTATCAAAATTATATTAACCATTTATTTTTTAAAAAATAAATGTGGTCGAGTTTTGAGATTATAGATATTCAATTAATTTAAATTATTTTTATGAATGATCTTCTTAATAAATTTTACAATATAAACGATTCCAATCAACGATATCGGCCCCAGACAAGACCCCATAGGCCTCACATCACAGCATAGCACGCTTCCCAGTTTAGTATCACTTGCCATTTGGTTAGTTGAACCCAAGATTAGTTTTTTGGAATGAAATTCTCTATTATTAAATTTTGGTTCTTTGTTGAAATATACCTTTAATCATTGAATTAATAGAAAATTTTAAGACACAAAATTTTTAGATATAATATAATAATTAGATGTACTTTAACATTACAAAAATAATTATTTAGAAAGATAAGGAGCTCATACCAACTTTTGTGTGTCCCGTTTGTTTTGAAAGATAAATGTGAGAATGAGATTAAGATAAAGGTGAGACTCAATATATGTTGTGTTTGTTTTAAGAAATGGAGAGGGGATTCATAATTTCATGAGATTAGGATGAACCTTGGTGTTGGGATTGAGATGGAAGAGATGGAGGTGGTATTATAAAATTAGTCCTCTGACTTAGGATTTTTTTTTAATATGTTGGGCATTTTTTTTAAACACTAATGTTTAATGTTTTTGTATTTTTTGTTAAGTAAAAATTATAGGTTTATTTGTTTTAATATTTTATATTTCTTTTATAGGGTAATAATTTAACAATTCTCATATTAATAACTATCATCAAAATAAATATAATTTTACTTAATCGTATCACTGTTAATCCCCTCATTCTATTTCTAAAAACCAAGGGGCATGGGAGTTAAACTGATTGGGCCTTTGACTTAGTTAACGGCTGAATTACGGGTCTATAATTTGAAACCATGCCATGCCATGTGGACATGGTAAGTTGGAGTAAACTTTGGCTATAACCATGATATTGCGTAATTTAGGCATGATAAGTTTGCTTAAAACTTTAGTGTAACAGTAATATTCTAGGGTCATATTTGATTTATAAGATTAATAGTGAGTTATTAATAATTCTATCAAATTAATGTAGTATTTACTATTCAATTAGATTAATAGGATAAATTATCCATTAGATTAATAATCTCACCCCTACTCCATTATTAATTAATTATTCATTGAATTAATAATCCTAAATCAAAATGTTAAAACAAATATAGAATAATTAAACATATGAATTAATAATTTCAATCCTATACTCTAATCCATTCAATCAAACATGCCCTATCAGTATTGACATGGTGGATCACTACTATTTAATGACAAAATATCATATAGATGGTGCACCCGCTGTCTAAACATGATTACTCCATCGACCTCACACACATTCATAGGAGAGTAGATTACACTTACCCATCAATTTTTGATTGAATAGTAACATTATGAGTTAATAATTATAATTAAATTTTTGTCAATAACTTTATGTGCTATGATCAGGAATTGAATATTTACTCATGATCTTTCGCATCATAAGTGGGACTGGAATATTTATCGATCTATTTCAAAAATTCTAATAAAAAATATTAAATTTTATAATTTTAATTAATAAATATTAAATTAAGACATATACATAAATTTGCCTTAGCCACCACATAATTTTTCATTTTTGAGTTGTGAGGAGGGTTTTAGAACATCTCCAACACTTATTATTATTATTATTATTATTTTCATCAAATTTAACTAAAGATTTGGATTAAAAATTTCATATGATACTAAGTGTTTCAATACTAAATTTTTAATTTTTATCAAATAACCGGTCGACTGAAATGACGGTCAGAAGGATGTCCAAGAGTCGACCGGCCTAGTGTAATTTTTTTTCAATTCGGTTGTCCACTTGATTATCTGGGCAGTCATACCCAATTGATTAGCCAGTCATCTATTCGGTCGTCCACTAACGATCAGTTACGAGATTTGATAAAAAATTAAACACCCATTGATTTGATGAAAAAATAAAGGAGTTTTTTTTTTAAGGTCCCTAATATTAAGATTTTATAGCATAAAGGACATTCAATATTTTAATAATGTCTAAGGTCCCTCAAGTTGATCCAGAGAAAATTCATGTCACAAAAAAAATTGATCGAAAATTTCTCTGACCTTCTCTAAACTTCCCACTGTAAATTTCTCTGTCCTCTCCTTCTCCAAATTTCTCTGCCTACTATATATTTCCTACTCTCCCAGAGAAATTTCTCTACCTTTTCACAAAATTACATCTCTAGAAAAATTTTAAATTTTTCTGCCCTCCCTGTCTCTTCTAGACTCAACACTCTAGAGAAATTTGAAAATTTCTCTGACTTCAGTGGCCTTCAATTGGTCAAAATAAATCCAGAGAAATTTGAAAACCCAGAGATAATTGGTCAAAATGAACCCAGAGAAATTTGAATTTTCTCTGGGTTTGAGTGAAGAAGCTATAAAGATTTGAAATTTGAAATAAAAAAGTGAAACAATTATAGGGGAATTTGTTGCTCTGTCTTGAAACACCGCTTTAACTTGTGATTTTTGAGCCCTAGATACTTATTCGCTAAGCTTTTGAAGGAATTGAAATCACAGAAGGGAAGAAGAAACACGAAAGGGAAGGAGATAGAGAGAGAGAGACCTGATCTTCAACTCTTGCTTTGGACTGTTGTGATACCGAAGATCTCTGCTCCACAAAATGGCTTCGTTTGGGTGTTTGAGCGTTCTGAATCTTTGCAGCATATCATCAGACCTCTCTGATCGGCCATGAAAGCATCTCTCTCTCTCTTCGTTCCAAACTCTGGTTTTGATCACTGCTAATCAAATACGGACTTGAACATGCAAATCATTATCATCATCGAGTGTTTTCAAGCCTTTTTCTCGTTAATCTGAGAGAAATCTCATATTTGTAATGTTAGAGATCTTGCATTTCAAAGCAACTCTGTGAAGAAGACACTGAATATACTTATAATTCCAGTCTCTATGCATTTGATATATCGGTGAATAGTAAATCACAAAGGTGAGGTCAGTGAGTTGGAGAGAGGGAAGAAGAAATTGTTACGTACGAAAGAGGAAGAGAGAGTGAATTTTCTCTGTGATATATGAGTGTAGGGTTAATGGACCTTAGACATCACAAATAATATTATAGATCTCTTCCATCACAGAAAATGGGATAGGAATCTTAGACTAATTTTTCAAAAAATAAAACTTTCATTTAATACAAATTTAGTAAAACAATTAGAATATCATGTTGGCTAAATTTTTATCAAATTTAAATTTTATAAAAGATTTGCGCGTGGGTTGGAGAGGGTCTAGCAACTCAACAACTATGGTCAAGATGGGCATGGAATTGGGATTGGAATTGGAATTGGAATTGGGATTGGGTTTGGGTTTGAGTTTGGGTCCTCGCTCTGAACAGTGAACACAAATCCTGACTCATTCGCTCTCTTCTCTCTCTCCCTATCTCTCTGTGTCTGTCTGGTAAGATAAGAACTCTGTGTGTGTGTGTGTGTGTGTGTGAATATGGATATGTATATCTGTGTGGGTAGGAACTGAAATTTTAGGTTTCGGAAAATGCGAATTGTTTGTTTCCAAGTAAAACAGTCGATTCATAGTTAGCTTTTTCTATTACTCTGAACTTGAAAATTTTGGCATTCAATTTCGCAGGTGTTTTAAAAGGGTATTTTGATAGTTTCATTTTAAGGTAAAATTGTGGGTACTTCGATAAAGGCGGAGCTCGAAATGAACGCTGCCATGGCTGTATCATCTGTACTCTTCACTAGCTTGTCGCCGTTGCAGCCACTCGTAACTACTCTTCCCTTGAACTCTCCTTTTGGTTAATGAGTGAAAATTAATAATATGAAATCTTCAACCCCAATTTGCCCAATTATGTGTTGTGAAAAATTTATATACCAAATTAGATTATGGGTTTTGAAATTATTAATTTTTTTAATTGAATTATAAAAGATATTTGAAATATTTGTTGCTTTGACACAGAGGATTGAGGTGAAAGCTGCGAATCTACCGAGCTTGAGGTGCTCTACCAGGTCACAGGTAACAAATATTGATCTCTATGTCTGAATTTTTATTTATTTTTCATACAAAACTTTGTCTAAGGATCAGTATCTTGTTTTTAAAGTTTTTTTTAATTAACCAGGATGTGTCAAATTCGCAAAATGATGGTCGTGGTCGTCGAAGAGTGTGGAGGCGAAGAAAATTGGTAAAAAGAAACCTTTCTAATTTTTTAGTCTTGTTTTCATTGTTTATAAATATAGCTTAATATGAAAGTTCCAAGTAAGTTGTACTTTTCCTGTAAAATTTCAAATTTTCGATTGAGTCCAGTGTTAACACATGAATATGCCTTCCAAATGCAGTGTTAAATAGGACTCAATGAAAATTTAATGAGAAAAAGTAGGACTTATTTAATATTTTTTCCAATTTAATTGGGTAGTGATTTTGAACAATGCCTTAACCTGAATGAAAAGTTCTAATATACTTTTTTTGAGGATTTGTTTGAAAACTAGTCGCTATATGTTGTATTTTAATTTTTAAACTAATAATTTGGAATTTGCATGCTAAATTCAAGCATATTGTGTCTTTATTTCAAAATATAGGATTTTTAAATAAGTTTGGACACATACTTGTAGCCACAGAAAAGCATATACAGAAGGAATAGGAAATGCACATCTTTTAACATTGGTGGGACGACATTCCACAAAACATCATCGATGTGGTGAGAGAGGTTAGAGGCGATAGGTTGTTGACCTCTGGGAAGATGGCGGGCACTTCAATGGCTTGAGATCACCGGAGGTGGAAGAGGAGAAGACCACGGCAGGCTTAGAGAAGAAAGGAGTGGTAGTGAGAGACCTTGAATGATTCTTGTTGCGCTTGCCATGATTGTGGCTGCACTTATGATGCCGTTATATAGACTCTAGGAGTATTGGAGCCCAAGCAACCTCAAGATAGGTGTCAAGTTTTTCTTGGCTCGACAGGAGGGTGATATCAGCCCTACTAGCTGTGTCCTACAATTTAGGTCATTGGGAAGATTGCGTCATGGGAGCTGCAAGTGTAGGTATGATATCTTGAGAGGCATATCATATATGCAACAAGTGTAAGTGTAAGGTTAACTTCCCTTTTCTCTAAGCTAGGTCAAGGTGGAATTGTCACTGCAGGGAGATAGTTACATGACCCTGGCGACCCCGAGGTCTTAGCCTCCAATCCACAATCCTCCAATGATCCCAAGCGGGAATGCCTAAGTCCTGCTCCCAACCTAGGCAGCCGAAGAGGTAAGTGCATGGGTGAGCTAAAGGCTCATCCTAAGTAGCTAAGTAAACATAGGTGAGCCAAGGGTCCAACTATGTTGCTATGGAGCTGGGATGAGTGGATAGAGAATATATTTCTTATGATTGGCCATGGAGAGCTCTAGGTTAGCTAGCTCTATCAAGGTGAGCTGTGGTCGTCCTGTTTTCATATTTGGTGGTGTGCATGCCCCGCTTAGGCTAGGCATACAACCCCAACTCATCGTGGTGCCTCAAGGGTCTGCCATGTAGAGGTGTGGTGGTGATGATGTGACGCCCATAGGGCTCGCCACGTGCCAAGCATGATATAGATACCCACATTAATGCCCCTTGTGTAGATATTCTTAATAGAGTGTTTGTATATATATGTCAATGATGTTGAAAATATAACTCAAAAATAATAAAATTTGATTTCTTTTGGATAAAGGGAGATTTTGTTTTTTTATTGACCATGGAGAATTCATATTGTAATTTCATCTGCCGCAAACGGGCCGGACGAAAATTTGGACTTGTTGGGTGATGACCTCATTCCATGGGTTCTCTACCATTTCACATAAGATTTCAGTTTCGTTCCATAGGCACCAAACTCGCCCATCACCCTTTAATGCTACTAGGAGGGGGGGCTATGGCTTTGGTATTGGGATAGCCCATGATTTGGCTCATGGACTGAACCTCGCTTCCACCTTTTTTTGTGTTTGTGATGATGATGAGATGGAAGTGTCCGCGAGAATGTAGATGAATGTAGTGCTGGAGGAAGTTAAGGCGGGGGCACTCTCAATTTTAAAGAAGAGGATGTTGAGCGGAGTGTTGTGGGGAATGCTTGGCAATGCGCTGCGGGGAGCGCTTTCTTTTTCCAAGTTGAGGTTTGCGAAGTCCTTTGTGCCCCATCCGAGTCCCAAATTGTCATTTGGGTTTTCCAATGGTGTTGACATGATGGAGATTTGGTGGTCCAAATCTCTCTTTGTTGGTCTTTATGAGAGAATGTTGATTCGAATCCTCTTGAAATGTGGGATCAACACTTGCATTGCCTGGCAGGTGGATCCTTGGATAGTGAGGTTGCGTTGTTGGTTTGGCAAGAACCAAGTGTGGGATGGTGGTATTGTGTAGAGGTCTGGAAGCGTTAACGCTTTGTACCATCCCCTTATTTTACCTCGAAATTCTTTTGGCACCTCCATGATCGTATGCGGGGATGTTGGGCGTTGGACCTAAGGGGATTCGAATAGCAGCCCTTGGAATTGCCATGGAGGCATGGCGAGCATTTTTCGAAAGAACTCACACATCGGGCGGCGGCGATGAGAGAGTGGAGTTCGAAGTTCTGTACTTTGAACCTCTCCAGTTTGAGGCCTGGTTCACTGGCCGCCAAACGGTGTTATCTCGGCATCTTTGTCCTCCGGAAGCTATTGTTTGACAGAATGGTTTGTTGAAGTTGAGGAGGAGGGTGTTAACAATTGAGTATGAATTTGCTTGAATTTTGTGAGTGCTGTTGTTTTGTATTTGCTCTCTTATAAAGAGATTGCACCGGGAAGGAGAATGTGAGTTTACTAACTTTTGTAGCTTTATGAAGACGTTGGGAAGGAGCTATCCATGGAGAGGACAACTCACCAATTCAAATCGTAGCTATTGGTTTAGAGAGGACCATTAATTGCTGCTGATTTGGAGCTGCTCATGGTAGCTTGTGATAGCTTTTGAAGTTGTTAGTAGCTACAGTGAAGTGACTTTTTGGAGAGTTTAAGGTTTGTCAGCACCTTTTTGCTATCTCGAAGCCTCTGTAGCCATGAGCCATGAGCAGTCATGTCCGTTTTTAATGTTTTCACTGAGCATGGAGAGTTTTTGATTGATCTAAGAATTCTACCTTGGGAAGGTACAATCTTAATTTATTTTATTTTATTTTTTTGCTAGAGCTCATTGTTCTTCGCAGAATATTCGTAATTTTTGTATCGTAAAATCTTGCTGGTATGTATGAATTTTCCAGTGTATTAGGAAAATTGAATGTATGAATTTTCCAGTGTATCAGGAAAATTGAATGGAGGTGATCATAAGAAATTGCAAAATTCAACCAAAATAGAGCACATGGAAAATTGAATTTTCCGCAATGTGTAAACTTGAAATTTGAATTGTGTACCTTCTGGATGAAGAGATGATTATTTTGGAATTTGCACACCAATGTTCTGTGTATTCTACGTGCATCATCAGAATGTATATATATATATATTTTTAGCGGATGTTGAAGTAGAATAAGTAGATTTCTGACTTCTGTTTCTATGCACGCGACCTACTTAAAGTGTTTGAATGTTCGGACAAATTGAAACTCGAATTTTTGTGCCACAATGATCTAGCTTGTCTTTCGGGTAAAGAGGTGCCTCCTTATGTGTATTACTTCATTGCCTGTGGGTCGAAGAACTTCTTCTTGGGTTTGGTGAGTGTGGATGTGTGGCTTGTATCTGTTGCATTTCCTTTGTACCTTCCTCATCGTTTTATTTTCAAGGCACTTTGTGTTCTAGCTTTTGGAGAAACAGAATTCTGGAGAGAGAAACAAAACACTTGATCTTGTTCTATTTGGTACTACGCTTGGATTTTAATCACGACTTGCGTTTTAGGGCTTGAGTCTGTGTCGTGTGTATCGTGCCTCTATTGCAAAGTATTGGCTTATTCCTTCTTCTTGCTTCATGGGTTCTTTGTTTAGCCGTTGAAGTTGGTCAAGTCACGCGGCTGGAGAAGTAGCAATCTGGGTAGAATCCAAGTTGGGGTTGCTGAGTTTTGCTTTACCTGACATCCTTGAATCCTTCAAATCCACCTGAAGTCTACCACTGTGTTTAGGTTTGCTTGTGTTTGCCCCATCGTTGTTTGCCGAAGGAAGTGCATTGGTCGATCTATGTAAAATTTTTTCAAAATCGGGGCCATCAAGTTGGGGGTGTTCTTGCTAAAACAAAGGTAGGGTTAGGGTTTTGATTTTTTGAATCGTTGAAGTTAAGGTTTTTTTAGGGTTTATTGCTGTCATCGATTCTTGAGAGAAAAGAGGCAATATCTGGGCAATTGACAATCGAAATAGAAGTAAAGAGGCGAGGAAGGTGAGTTGGGGAGTTGTGAGCTGCGTGAAGAGAGCTTAGTGGAGTTGGGTTTGTGATTTGTGTGGAGCAGATTCTGCGGAATTGAAGGGAGGCGTGTGAGCTGACTCCAGAGTAAAGCTAGGTTTCGGAATCTGTGGGTTGAGCACTATTGCCTCTAGGGTTTTATTGTTGTTGTCAATTCTGACAGAGGGGAGGCAAGCTGTGGGCAATTGAGGTGCAAGCTACGTGAGGCGAGGATGTTTGAAGGTGAGCCACAATCTGGGTGAGGTGAGAATTGGGTGTTTTTGAAGGTGAACCACAATCTGGGTTCCACCTGCTTGGCATTCTTTTGTCGTGACTTGTGCAATTGGAGATCAACTTGTTCAGGTATGTTTCCAATTATAATTTCTTCCATTGATTTATTTATTTATTTTTAAAGTGAAATTCCCAAAAATATTTGGAGCTGGCTCCAAGCTCTATTTGGGTTCTATCGTGAGGAGTGGAGAGCTAGCCCTTAGGAGAGTTGAAAATTTGATGAATAAAAATGGTAGATTTTTGTTAAAATTTGGTGAGCCATTATATGGGCTTTAGACATAGCCAAAAAATTTGATGAGCAACTTGGAGAGCCGGAATTAGAGAGCTCTATTTTGGTGGAGAGCCAAAGAATTGGAGAGAGCTCTTAAAATATATATATATATATATATATTTAGAGCTATTCACATGGGTGAGCTGTAAACTGGAGAGCTCCACTTTCTTGGAGAGTCGAGAAATTAGATAACTCTAAAAATTAATAATAAAATATTATTTTGGTGGAGAGCCAAAGGATTAGAGAGAGCTTTAAAAATTAACAATAATATATTTGGAGCTATCTCATG